CTAATCCCCTTCCAATTCAACATAAGTTCTTAATAACGATACCTCATTAAATCAAATGTATGAAATTATCAATTCATCAAAAAAGGTATAAATTAGTTTGAAAAAAGTTTTAAATCGGCCCTCAAGCTCTAGGTTGTGAACCACTGCTCTAGACAATATGCCAGTGAAAAATATCCTTCTCAAATATTTGAATAAAAATGTATTTTAGTTTGGATATATTGTTGACTGTAATGATAAATATGTTTTATTTATTGAGTATTATAACAATCTGTCTCTTGGACATTGGTTATAGTGAGGTAGGACTACATTCATACTATTTGTAAAAAAAATAAAAAAATAAAATAGAATAAATAGAAGCAAAATAATAATCAAAAGTATATACAATATATAATAAAATAAAATAACCTCAAAAATAAGAAAATTAAAAGTAATAAAAAAAAACATATGCATACCTATATACAATCAGGCAAGGGAACTCCAGGAGATCCCTGCGCTACTCTCTCAACCGCATCACTGGTACTTAAGCCAGCGGAGATTGATCGAGAGCACATTAGCCACATACACTCATGAACATATATTAAATACTTGACAAATATTTATCATTCATTATATGAGATTTGAGATGGATGTTGAAAAAAATATATATAATATGTATTGTATATTGTATAAATAAATTGTACATGGGTCAAAAACTCGAAACTTCAGATTAAAGAAACACAACAAATATAAAAAAAATTCGAATGGAAGAGGTGCCTTTCATTTATAAAACCTAAAACCACTACAACTCTTCCTCATAATTAATATATCGAAGAATAAGTGAAGAAATACATTTTTAAAAACTCAAATGCAATGGTTCCTATAATACCGTTATCGACCAGCGGAAGACCAATTTTTCCTTTTTACAATATTAAATATTCCTTGTGTATAGTGTGCCCTATCTAAATCTCTTTTGAATTATCTTTCTTGTTTAATGAAATATTGATTATCCTATGGAGGGCACGAAGACAGGGGGCAATATTTTCCTCCTATCCTCGAACAGTATCTAAATAGGTGGTGGTGGAAGGAGGAAGAGGGGGGAAGAGAGTAGAGTTTGAGGGGCTCCACCCTTGGCCCCTTTCAGAGGGTAAAGAGGCAGGCGGGATATTCTTCCTTTCAACGGATAATATTTACAGCAAACATTCTGCCCCCCCCCTCCAGCCCGTCCTCCCCGGGACTCGAAGAGGAGCCCGTTTAGTGCCATTCAAGTGCTCCTTCGTATGTGGTCCTTTTTAAACGGCCCTCAAAGCTATTTAGTCAACGGTCGGCTAGTTAGTTGGTCAAAGGCCATTTTTGTGTGCTCGACTGAAAGTAGTCAAGAGCTTTCTTTTCATCATTGAGTGGCGTTAGTATTAATTATCATCTCGTGCGTAAGATATCGCGAATCGGGAATTACTGATTTATTCTGAGAAATGGAAATATACAAATGACGGTAAAAAACATTTGCATAATTTTTTATCCATTAAATAGATGAATACTGATTCTGCGACATAAAATTTATTAGTTAATTTTAGATAAATTTGTTCTGCTGAGTACCTAAAAAATTATATTTTTGTCGAATTGGCTATACTTTTTGGGATAAAAGCTATCCGTTTATACTGAAAATTATAAAAAAGAGGAGAACATTTTTTTATACTAAAATAGGCCATTAGACGGCTTCAAAAGAGCCATTAGAGGTATACATGCACTTGATGTAAATGCTTAATGTGCTATCATGCTAAGCAGTTAGCACAAATTTTCCACGAATGACAAATAACCTGTCTGTGCTAACGTGCTACAGGTTATGCCTATTCTGTAAACAAAGTTTGTGAATTCTTAATTGAACTATTCTTGATTTATTTTTAAAATGCCAAAGCGAAGTGAAAATACCGAGTTGCTGGATGATTTGGTTAAATATGCTTTATTAGAAACTATGAATGAAGATTCAGATGATTCAGAAGGCAAAGAACTTGATGAATACATAAATGGAATCCTGGCACTCTCTATTATATTTCTGTAGATATTGTACACAAACAAAGAACAGAGAATCAAACACATCAAAACCTTACAATCATCTTCTCCGTGCTTTTACGAAGTTAGGAACACTTCACAGGATCCTAGGCTGCGTTAAAATCGAGAGTGCAAGCAAAAATTTCGTAAATAATTTTCTCGACTTTACACACTTAAGAAGTTTACAAGACATAGCACTGATTCCATGAATATTCCTATTATAATAGTGACAATACAAACTACAAAGCCATGAATCTCCAACATTCAGGTACTTAGTTAACTTGCAAACATTTTGCCAATTCAGGCATCATCAGGATCGAAAAAGTCAGATCACATAAATTCAAAAAGAAAAATAATGAAAAAAAAAACTTGCATTCTGAAGGAAACAGGAGAGTTAAACTTAAAATATAATAATAAAAAAATGTGTTAATAAAATTGAAAAAAAAAAGAAAGAAAAACTAATTAATAAATACAAAAAAAAAAAAATGCTTGGAGGTGTATATAACATTCATACCAAAAGGAACTTAGTGCATGAACGAATAATCCACAAATAATATTAATAAAATAAGCAAAAGCTCGAAAAGAGACATTATAAATGGAACAATACAAATTATAAAGCCACGTGTCTCATACAGATACAATAGCAGACTTTTTTTTTTTTTTCTTTTCCTCTCTCTTTCATTATGCATGTATGTGATCTTATTTGTTCTGCCCGGATGGTGCCTGAATAAGCAAAACGTTGACAAGTCAACTAATCATCCATATGTTGGAGACTTTGTAGTTTGGATTTTTTTATTTTAAAATTATCAAATGATTTCAAACAAACAAAGTGCTATTAATAATACAAAGAATAATAAAATTAATACTAAAAACCAAAAACATCGTCGAGAGTTGAACGATATCTTTCCTCCATAATCTTGATGTCTTGGTGGAACCGTTTCCCGTGTTATTCACTATATTTAATCAGGTTGTTCAAAAATGTATCTATATCACTGTGAAAATAATACAATTTGTTAATCGTATAAGCTCCTCCTAGTTTTGGGAAATTCTGGAGCATTTATTCTACTATTCCAGAATATTCATCCGCTTAATGAATCCCCAAAAAATGTTTGACGAGTTAGACAAAGTTTGCCCATGGTTTCAATTCAACTCGATTCACGAGGTTCGTGGAATCACCGTTGTTTAGAGTATGGATTTGTGGCTCATCAAAAAATCCTGTTTTAATGTTTCAAAATCAATCATCAATGTGGTTTCTAGGATCTGTTCAGGTCATTCGTATTTAAAAAGGTGCCCTATTTCGTCTTCATTGAATCCAATATCAAAGTGATTTCACGCAAGTTTTTCTAACTTTGTGTGGGACTCAATATTTGTCTTGTTGTCAGATCTGTTTCCCGAAAAATTCCCGCTAACTTTTTTTTACAAAATCGTTTATATTTTGGGAGAAGGGGTTATTAACACAAGACTTTCGTGAAGAACTCATACTTTGTAATGAAAACTCCTAATAAATTACATTAATATAATTAACTGGAATTTTTTAACACTTAAAATTATTAATGAGGGTCTATTGGTTAAAATCCTGCACAAAGATAAATATTTATCACGTTCTACTTCGAAAAAGATACGTTAATGATGGTAGATTTATATAAAACGTATATTATTTATTGAAGGGTTTGTCATGAGAACTAGAGTCAATTTAAACAAAATAATTTATAGCCTCAGTATTTCGCTACCTATGCATCTAAATAGACTTCATACACTTATAACGCAGAAAAAAGAAATGTTGTTCCTCTTTGTTATTTTTCATTGTTTTACTTCCTTTTCTCTATTTATCCATCTAAAGATTTTCAATATACACTTTAGTTGAGTGGAATTGTCATTCTTTACTTTGAAGAAAACTATGTGCACGGCTGCATTTAGCTACCTTACATAATTATACCTCCATGTTGAACCTATGATCTCTTCCGTAATCTCTGATGTAAATTTGTATTGGGTCTAAAAATTTGTTTTTGTTGATTTCGTCCACACGTTTGAGGATTCTCTGAGACATGACAGATATTTTGAAAATATTTTTCTTAATTAATACTACAATTTTTCCGTAGGTCGGATTCCCTTGGTCTCAAAACGAAAAATGTTGCAGGAACGTGGTAAAGTGTCTCAGAACCCAGCGATAGAGTACTGCAATCTATAGTTAAGCTTTTCTGTTGGTATAAATTACCCTTATATAAAAAAAATAATACCTACCATCCGTATTGTGTCAGTATCCAGATAAAAGTTGCGGCAGTTGCACTTTTCAAACCTGGGAACAAGGGAAGAGTAAATAGAAACTTCATAACAATATCCTGTGTAATTGAAAAATAAACTGATTTATAATTCTACTCTCACTTTTAGAACTTTTACGAAGAGAAGAAGGACAAAATGTCTTAGAAGGGGGAGGAGCCTTTAGGGGGATGACCACTCCCCTCCTCTACTAGGTTCAATTAGCCCCAAATTAAGACACTATTTATGTTTGACGTAATTTTTCAAGTGTTATTGTCGAGACATTGCGGAAGGTTATCTACCTATGATAAAGTGTTATTGTGCTTCTCAGTGTTTTGTGTTTTTCAAGTTTGTTTTGTTAGTTTTGTTGTATCGTTTCCTACTGTTTGTGTTATTTTAGTGTTTTATAGTTTTTTTTTTAACATGATTTAGTTTTAGTTTATGTTTATTTAGTTAATTTTATAAACTTTTTGAGTGAACAGTGGAGGTTAAGGTTAACTTTGTGGTTTTCACGAAGGTTTAATCTAACCAAAAGGACGTTTAGAGACTATTACGTTGGTGAAGCACTAAGGTAAGTTCATATTAAAGTCTTACTTTTGAAGATAGGAAATTTATAAGTTTCCCGAACGTAGGTTAGATTTTGAGTGTTGAATATTTCCTTCTACTGTTGTTCACCCATTATTTCAACGTATAAAGTTGTTAATTTTGGATTGCGTAAGATGGCTGATGAAATTGCATCAGCAATGGAGCAGGAAATGGTGGAAGAACAGGCTATAAAGTGCCCAAGGCCTTCAGCAAAGAGGCAAAGGAAAGGATCTCCTGACGCCCGAGAAGAAGCAGATAAAGAACGTGTAGACGACAGTCTTCTGCAAGATGCACGTAGAATCAAAGAAAACATCAGGGTCTACATGAACGCAACAGACAGGAACGTGAGTGCGAAGGTACAAAAGCACGTTAATGGGAAAATGCAGCAGTTAATAGATATAATGGAGACAATATATGATAAGAACTATGAAAAAACGTTTTTAGTACAACGTGTGGTAAAGGACACATTAGCTTCCTCTGAAATGTATGATATCATAGTAAATGCATTAGTGGAAAAAGCAGTACCTATGGTTATCGAGGGACTCAAGTCGGAAAGTAAAACCATACAAAGACCACTGTCAGAACCTCAGACATCTCGGGAGTTTCCATGCGTTAAAGAACAACCGCTATTAGCCGATGCCCACGCTATTATTGAGACCACGGAGAATGAAAGTTTCCAGGAAGTAAAGAAAAAGCAAAGAAGGAAAAAGGCTCTTCCACAAGTGGCCAAAGAGATCGAGGCCTCTAAACCAATATCAGAGGAAAGTTTGACCAAGAAAAGGTCTACACATCAGACTACGATGGCCGATATTGTTAAAGGGCTTCCATTAAAACCGATGGATACTACAAGACCAACTTATGTTACCATCGCTTCTCAAGGTAAAAGTGCAGCTGACATCATCAACAATCTGCCTTCTCCAACTGAACTAGGAGTCAAGGCGAGAGTTGTACGGGCGACCAAAGCTGGCTCAGTTTTAGTTTGTGTAGATGAGGGTGCCCATGCTAAAAAAATAATTGAATGGCAAAAATTAAAAGAAGTTGGGATGGAGGCAAAACTAGCCTTAAAAAGAAAACCAAAAGTGGAGGTAAAAGGAGTTCCCCTTTCATGGAGTGCGGAAAATCTAGAAAGGGTGCTATGGGAAAGGTTGGCTGCAAAATCGGCCGTTATTTCTGAGAACCAATTAGGTAATATAAAGCCATTGTTCTCATCAATGGCTAGAAATAAAATTACCAATAATTGGGTGTTAGAAGTACATCCAATGGTAAGATATAATCTACTCAAGGAGGAAATAATTACAGGAGGTTGGTGGTCACTGACAATCTTAGATTACCCCGATGCTCCTCCCTGTCTAAGGTGTCAGGGATATGGACATACAAAAGCTACTTGTGAGGCAAATGGCATAGTATGCAAGTGGTGTGCGGCGAGTGGGCATATTGCTAAAAACTGTCCCGCAAAAGGAAATAAGACCGCACCTACATGCGTTAACTGCGTGAGGGAAGGTGTTCAAAAAAGTAAGGCTAAACACCAGGCAGGAAGTAGAGAATGCCCAGTGCACATCAAGAGATCTCAAGAATTAGTGAGGAGAACTCACTATGATTAGACTCAACATCCTGCAGTTGAATATGGGCCGCCGGCATATTGTGGCTGACGAGCTTCGCGCCATGGCACAACGCTACGATATCATGGCTGTCCAGGAACCTAGCTGCCGTGGGAACAGGGTTACGGGGTTTGGCCTCACGTCAAGAGTTATAGCCCTGAGCAGTGGAGAGAGGAGGCCCAGGGCTGCAATAGTGATTAATAATCCTAACCTTGACGTGATGGATCTGAGGCAACACACCATGGCGGATTATGCATCTTGCTACGTTAAGTGGGGCAAGATTTCTTTCACATTGGTATCGGCATACCTACCTGTGAATAGTGATGTAGAAGAAAGCATATCCGCTATGGAGGCGATCATTAGAGAGATGAGGAATGTGATCATGTGCTCAGATACCAACTCCTGGAACACGGTCTGGGGGTCCAATATTACTGACAGGCGAGGCGCTAAAATGGGAAATTTCATAGGCAGAAATCACCTTGTCGTGATGAACGAACCCTCTGCCACCCCTACCTTCTCTGGAGGCATGGGGCAGAGTTGGATTGACGTCACGATCGCCACGCCTACGCTTACGAGGTATATTGCTGATTGGACTCTCAGATCTGATACGAGTTCCGATCACGTTGCGATAGCAATTGGCCTGGTAAATGAGCCAGGATGTTCCCACGGTACTGATAAGTGTTTCGTCACTAAAATAAATGACTGGAGTGTCTTCAGGTCCTACCTGGAAGGAGTGATTGCAGACGAGGAGTGGGAAGCGGCAGAGATGGATGTAGTTGACAATCTGGACTACAAGGTGTCCAGGATTACCAACAACATTCGTGATGCTGCCGAACACTCCCTCAAGCACCGGAAGGCGAGGGTTCGACCTGTCCCATGGTGGACGCCAGCCTTAACTGTTCTAAAACGAGACCTCTACAAGGCCCGGCGGTCATATCAGAGGTGCAGATGCGAAGAGAGGCGCACTGTACTTCGCAATGAGTACAAGTCAAAAGCCAGGATATACCGAAACGAAAAGCGGAAGTCTTGGGATGATTTCATCATTGAAGAGTCTTCGAAGAATCCCTGGGGTATTCCGTATAGGGTAGCATTGGGTAAGTTGTCCCCGATGCAGACTATTGCAGCCTTGCGGTATCATAATACTGAGGCAACCACCCTTGAAGAAACTGCCAATGTTTTCATTGAAGCAATATATCCCAGAGATGACCCAACCCAGGACAGCGAAAATGATGATTTTGTGAGACGCACCACGGTATATCCACCTGGTTCAGATTTGTGCCCACCATGGGACATTCACGATCTTCGTATTGCCGTGGATAAGCAGAAGACTAATCGTGCTCCAGGACTTGATGCAATAGATGCAGCGATCTTGAGGAACAGTATCACGTATATTGAAGACCGGCTGTTGAGTATTTTCAATGAATGTCTGGATATGGGATACTTTCCAAGAAGATGGAAGATCGCTGATTTGAGACTACTCTACAAGGGAGGAGATAGGGACAAACAACTCCCTAATTCATATAGACCTATATGTCTCCTCCCTGTGATTAGCAAGGTCCTGGAGAACCTCATGATGACTAGTTTACGGCCTGTTTTCGCTAGAGCAAGTCATCCACGGCAATATGGATCAACCAGAGGCAGAGGAACCGCTGATGCCCTGCTGAGAGTGCGCAGAGATGTTGAGGAGAGGGCGGAGCGGTATGTCATGTTGCTTCTTTTCGACATATCCTCCGCCTTTGACAGCGTATGGTGGCCTAGCGTGCTCCGGCAGCTGCAGAGGTATGATGCTCCTAGTAACTTATACACATTAGTAAGAAGTTATCTCCAGGATAGAAGTGTCAAGATTAGAGGCAATTACTACGAGGTAGAAGCTTCCATAGAGAGAGGTTGCCCTCAGGGATCGGTGCTTGGTCCTGCTCTATGGAAGCTCGTCTTTGATGAGTTACTGGGAGTGTTAGAGGAGGAGCGGTTTCCTGCCACTGCTTACGTTGACGACCTAGCTGCTGTGGTGGCCTCCAACAGCAGAGCTGGAGTCAAGAGAGATGCAGTGCGATGCGCCAGCCTAGTCGCTAGATGGTGTGAGGGGAAGAAGATGAGGATGGCTGCTGCTAAGACTCAAGCCATCCTCCTTAAGGGAAAGACTGATAGGGCACACCCTATAACGATGTACATAGAAGGTCAGAGGATACGTCCAAGTGAGGTGGTAACCTACCTAGGGGTTAGGTTAGGTGTAGGCCTCAATATGACGCCTCATTTGGAATATCTGGCAGGTAGGGTGGCCCTAGCAATGAACGGTCTAAGTCGTGTGGGGGGCGCATTTTGGGGCCTTAGGTATCCAGCCACTATCACTATTTATAAGGGTGTTGTGGAGGGTATCCTTAGGTATGCGTCTCCCTTCTGGTTCCGAAACCTCACACTCAGACAAAGAAATAGGCTAGCATCGACTCAGAGAACTGCTCTGCTTCGGGTCACCAGAGCATATAGGTCTACGTCGCATGAAGCAGTGCAGGTCTTAGCGGGGGTGGTGCCTCTCGACCTCCTCCTGCGAGAAGAAGTGACCAGGTATGACTACAAGAAGGAGGGCTCAACTAGTCTATCGGAGAACCTACGGATGAGGATTATTGAAAACCCAAATAAATGGAAAAAGATTATCCGGGAGGAAACAATTGAAGATTGGAGCAGACGGTGGGTGACGACTCCGAAAGGCAGTACCTTAAGAAAATACTTTCCCACCGTTGAATCTCGGTTGCAGGCGAAATGGGTCCTCCCGGACTATTGGGTTTCACAATTTCTCACGGGACATGGGGGTTTCAGAGCTAAACTCCATGGCTACGGACAGGATATAGATCCCCACTGCCCCGATTGTGGTGTTCCGGAGACTGTTGAGCATGTGGTCACGGCCTGCACTGCTTTCGACGAATTAAGAGCGAGGTTAATGAGAACCACGGGGATTTACGTCCTCACTGAGGAGGAGTTTCCTCAGTTGGTGAGTGAAGAAAACTTCCCGCGGTTCAAAGAGTTTATAAATGGCTGGAAGACGGCGGTGGGCCCAGCTCACTTTAACCTAGGTGCACGCAGGAGAAGAGGACCAGTCCCAGGAAGACCTCCGGATTCGGGAAGCCAGGCCTAAAGGAGCCAGGAAAAAGTAGAAGAGCTAGCTGTGTGCACAGCTTAGAATTTTGTAAACTGATATTATGGCAGTAGTGTGTTATTATGCATTAATGCTTAACATCACACTACTGCATACACCCGTGTTGCCCTGGTGGCATGGGAGGGTGGAAAACAAATAAAAAAAAAATAAAAAAAGTGTTATTGTCGAGTATATAATGTATAAACAGCAATTGCAGAGTCACAAAAGTGAATTTCAAAGATTCATATTTATATTTAATTTTACCAAAGACAACGTGGAAATCTAAAAACCTGTTGGATAGATAGAATCAACAAAGATGTATTACAGCTGCATGCAGATAACTATAAAGAAATTTTCCATGCTATGCAGAGATGGAGAAAGATAAAAAAATGCCTAGAAAGTTTGTGATGCCAACAAAAAAAAAAATTACTTTCGCAGTATGTCCTTAATTCTGTCGGTTTGGTACTTATTAAGGAAGTATTTTTTCGTCAAGTAATTTTCAGTTTTATTATTTACTTATCCTTTTTTTTTTTAGTATGAGAATTTTCCGAACTATTCGAAAAAAAAATATTATTATATTTTTCTTTTCCATTGAAGTAAATATTTTAGGCAACCTAATTTTCTTTTTTTACATTTTCATTATCTTTTGATCAGAAATACATTGCAAGAGACGTTGTCCCAGGATAATGTTATTTTTCTTTATTTATGTCTACTGTTTCTAGGTCAACGGTTGTGCAAAAAAAGTGATTTGTCTGAGATCATGCTCAATCTCGTATTTAATATTTAATTAAGAGTACCCACTTAAATTAGGGTGGGTGTGACACAGGAGGGTCTTCCGACCCCAGTTTCGATCATGCGGAAATGCATAATAGGATACATAATAGATACATGGAGTCTATATTTGGAACACCGAAATTCAATATATAATCACTATTATTATCTACTTTAACTAAATTATTAACTAATAATATCTAGTAAATATTATTTATATGAAATTGTGAGAGCGGCGAGGATTAGTAATAAAATAGCTGACTTATAAAAGGTTACAAAGTGCTGGATGGAATTTATGAAATATCCCTATCACTTTGTCGCCCACGAAGGGGCGATGTTTTGTCCTTTTAATTTATTCGGTTTTGGTTTGGTGGTTTTAATAATATAACTGCTGTTCCATATGTGTATTTGGTATTTTAAATTGTTTTTTGTTGTGTGCCTTGTTCAATTTATTTAGGTAGTGATACTTTTTTCCTCTTTTTTCCTTTTTTTATTCAGATGTTTTAACCATGCTAGATATGTTTCATTTTCTAAAACTACTGATTTTTTGTTTTCATAATAATTTAAAAAATCTGGTTTGCGTAACACACAACTTTAACTTACTGCTCAACTTTGAATAGAAATTATTTTCTAGCCATATTGGGCTATTATAAAAAAAATTAATTACATTTTAAACTGAGCTAAAGCTAACAAATCTAAAATACCATTAAAATAACAAAAGTCGTATTTATTATGTCACCGGTTGATTATGGATTGTAGTATCTGTTGATTATGGATTGTACGATCCATTGATTATGGATTGTACGACTATTAGTTATTAAATTGTTATTTTACATTGCAAAGTTTACTAAAACGGAATTAAGAAATTTGCATTGTCTGTCATAGGCAGATCAAAAGTTGTCACACTAATTGAAGGTGGATACTGTTGGGATATCGCAAAGAGAAAATTCATCTAATTATTCATTAATTTAATTTTATAAGAAGTTTACATAGTAAGAAGTTTTCATATTGTTAGAAAATTTCATTTAATTTTCTTGAAAACAGATGATTTACGTTAAATCATGTTAGTTTTTATAAATTCTTATTTATATTTTTCTCGTCACTTTCGGTTACATTCTACAACTTCCTGTATTATATATTGTTGTTGTTTTTTTTGTTTTTATTAACGCTTCGCTTTCCAAAATATATTTTACGTATAGCTTCTGGCTATTATTTCCGGATATTCATTTACAACCTGGATCAGTATTTTCCTTTTTTCTCCTTTCCTTTTTTTCAATTCCTTCCAAAAGTTATATTTAGCACTTTTTCATATATTCTAACATTGATAAATAGTTATTATTTAGAATAAACCAAATTAAAGGTACTTTAGAGGAAGAGATGATAATGTAGGGATTTCACAAAGGGAAATTCATCAAATTATTCAATAATTTAATTTTATAAAATGGTATATGATAATTTTTCGGAACAAAGAGACGTTAATACCTAATCATTTAAATATAATATCACATCTAGAGTTATTAAACTGCAGTGAATGTATGTAAGGTTACAAACATATGCTTTATACATCCATGAAATCATTTTATATTTAACTTCTTCTTTCACACAACTACAATGAAATAGTTTTTTTAACAATGTCATTGGCTTGATTAGGTGAATTTTAAATAATTTATTCAAACTTAAAAAATATTTTAAAAGGTTACATTTAGTTAGTAAATTCCATTTAATTTCCTTGAAAACATGTGATTTAAATATTATTAGTTTTCAAAAATTATTATTGATAATTTTTTGCCACTGTACGTTACCTCATACAACTTTCTATATTAGATATTGTTTTTTCTAAAATTCTCCGCTTTTAACGATATATTATACGTATACCTTCTGACTAGTATTTCTAGAGATTCATTTTCGCCCAGGTTTAAATTAAGTTACGCAGCTGAAAGATTAATTAAGAAGCGCAGAGATCTCCTAGAGTCCTGCTTTGCCTTTCACTAGTGGAAGACATAGCCTGGATCGCAGTCCCTTGAGCAAATATAATGAGTTTTTGATTTTATTTTTGTACTCACCTTTAATTTAATTTTTGTTTTCTACAAATTTTTTAACCATTATCTATTTATATATATTCTATTATTTGTAAAGTCATATATTTTTTACTTTTATACTTTCCTCATCACTATTTATTATTATTTTATATTATGTTTGTTCATTTTTTTTTTATTTGTTCTAAATTACTTCAATTGGTTCTTCTTGTACGTATATATCGTATGAGTGGGAACCTTTAGTTCTAATATTTATTGCCCTTTATTGTTGTAGATTGTGTTATTATTAAAAAAAAATTTACAAGTGAAATATTTCTTGGCTGTTATTTTTGCAAATGGACATTTTACAGTATATAATATTTAGCTATACATGTATATAATATTTCTGCAACATAAATGTTTAAAATGAAAGAATTATTTAATAAAATCTAATTTTATGATCTATTTTTAAGATTCTTAGATGTGCTTACCATCAGCCGTCACATATCAATATACATATATATATATATATATATATATATATATATATATATATATATATATATATATATATATATAAAACCTCGGTTATTAATACAGATATAGGAGCCACTGGCGGTTGCGCAGCTTTTCGATAGGAAGTTGAAATGCGATACACTTATCGCCGCTTCCATTTATTATGCATTCAGCAGCAGCAGTCGGCTGGCGGGCAGTTACTGCCACTGATTGATAGCTCACGGGGTTTTCACAGGCTCATTCTTTGCGTAGTGGGCTGCTCAGGTCGTGCGTGGTGAGTGTCAATTTTTCAGCCTTTTCTTCAAGACATTTCAGAACTTGTTGAGAAGTAAAGGAATAAAACTGAAACATTATTATTTCGTGGTTTTTATAAATTTCTTCTGAATGTTTTCAATCATCCATATCCTCTGTTTTAGTCATTTCCTAATCAATGCATCCTTGTAATCAAATTTGGAATCAAAGTTGAAACAGGGTCAAAGGGCACGGAAACCTATTGAATGGGGAGATCCGAAGTTTTTGTGAGTTTCACTACTAATTTAGCTTCAATGTGATTCAGCGGTTTTGGGGGTTTTCTGATCGAGTGTTAAAACTTTAAAAAAAGTAACCGAAGACGGAAATAATTCCTATCCAGTACTAAACTTGGTGGCTTTTACCACGAACAAAACGTAAGAATCTTCAGACGGTACATTAGTCAACTCTTATAAATGCATGCAACGAAACTTTCAGGGAACCATAACGTCTTGTGGAAGATACTCGACTTCCACACTAAGTTTAAATACCCACGGAGACGAAGTTCATTGACAATTAAATAATGTGTTTAAGTTAATTTCTATTTCTATAACATGCGAGTATTGTTGTGGAATATGAGCCGCTCCTAATGGTAGTGTAATAGTAGGTACTTATTTAAAAAAATTCAAATAATAATAAAAAGATCCTTTGAAATCGGCAGATCGGAATTTTTTGCAGCATAGGTATTGATCGCAATACTTCCCATACCTAGGATCGGTAGGAAAGTAACAATATTATTGTTAAAATTAAATGTTTTTTTCAAAAACTTTTATTATTATATTTACAACTGTATTAGTATGAATACAGTAAGTAAATGTGTACATAGGAATATTATCACATGAAACACGCTTGTTGAGAAACTACCCATTGGTAGCACTCTAAAAAAAAAAAAAAAAATTAAATGTAAATGTCAATTTTATGCACTCACTTTGTTATTTTCTCTGGTATTATTATCTTACCCCACGGATACAGTAGTTACTCCTTTCTGTGACGGATTTTAAGTTTAGGATAATAGTTCTATAGTAATATAATAATGAAAAAGGATATTCTGTCTATAAGTAATTAATTCTAACCATTTTTGTTGCTCAAACTAAAATTAAAAATATACGATTTATTATTTATGAAATCGTTCTTATAATTTATGATGAATAATTGAAATTTGTTCCCTCAACATAACAACCGTCTCTCGAAGAAGAAAAAGAAAGCCTTGTTTGGTTGAAGCCTAACATCAATATTGAATACATTATCATAATATATTTACCGGCTACATCAATAATACAGACATCAGTTGTTAAGGTGGTTAACGGGCGATTTGTTGAGTTTTGATAGAGGCACATAATTAGCATTGAGCTCGTTAGTTGCTAATTGACATTATCGTCACCATCTCGAGTAATATTTCGGACACTACATCAACCCTTTGCGTGTCAACCAACTTCAATCGTTGCTTCGATCCAACTGCTATCACCGCATCTAGAACTACCTATCATGCATGTAGTTACGTCTTGGCGGTCAATTGTATGAATATTTTTAAGAGGAGTAAATTATTCTAACGTGCTACAAGACGTTAGACTGACTTATCTCTGGATTCTTCAGTTGATTACAGGTAATATTTCGTTGATAGTTGTTGATATCATCGCATATGTAGATTCTAAGTTAGAAATGAAAAAACTTTTCATTGATGTTATTAATGAATAAAAAACAAATGCGCAATGAATTATCGACTTTTTTTTTTTTTTTATTTGCTGTTATTTAACGTCGCATCGACTGCCAAGGTCATTAGCGACGATCATTCTTCTTAAATATAACTTATCAATTTTATTTTTCGGATGTACTTCAGCGTTTTTTCAATACCAGTGTTTTCCTTGTACGGTGCTTTGTCTTCAATTTGGAGTTCGATTTGCTGTTTCCGGAACTTTTTGCACTGGAATATGTGTTCAACTGTCAGATTAGCATTTTCACATACCTCACATGTTGGTCGATGTAAGCCAAGAAGTAGGTGGAGATGGGTCAGTTTTTTATGTCCAATTCTGAGCCTGCTTATTATAGAACACTCTTTTGATGTCAGGTGTTTTGGAGGATACCAAGCTCGATTGTCGTCTTTGGTCAGATGAAGGTGATTGCGCGGCAGTAATCTCCACATGTGCATTCCAACTGTCGTTCACTTTCTTTGAAATTTCGCTTCTCCATTCGTTGAGAAACATCGATCCTAAAACAGATGAATCTGTGCTTCTGGCGGCTTCCTTCCTTCATCGGCTCGTTCATTGCCGATTATGCCAATGTGTGAGGGTACCCAAAACAATATTATTTTTTGACTATTTTTATTTAGTTTCAAGTTCATTAGCTGAATTTTTTTGTGCAATGTGTTACATGTCCATGCATTTCGCAGTCCCTTGATTACAGATAAGGAATCGGTCACAATTACTGATTTCTCAATATTGGTGTCGATTACGTATTCAAATGCCTTGAGAATCGCCCACGTTTCACTTGTAAAAATTGAATTATTGTTATTTAATTTCCATTTTTTTATATTGTTTTGGGTCACTATACAGCATCCTACACCTTTCTCTGATTTTGAACCGTCCGTAAAAATTATGTCATGATTATGGAATAATTTATGGACAATTTCATGATAATTATGTCTAATTTCTTCTGGGGTAGTGTTGTTATCGACTTTATAAAATAATAAAACTGGATTCAATTAACACATTCATAACTTAAAACTCAACGGATTTATATAAACAGAAGTATTTTTAATTGGAACGTCATTTTTTTTTGCTATTTAATTTAATGATTGAGACCCATAGGATTCTTTTGAGCGAATTACATTCAGCAAGTGTACTTTGTTTTTTACATGATAAAGTTTTTTTAATAATTAAATATTACAAACTTATTCTAATAACCCTGATTTCATTGATATGGAAGATGTGATATTTTTATTTAAAAACAATATTCCACTCTAGACTACTGAACAGAAACACATCTCCCAATTGAAAACTAACTACTAGTCTATAAGAACATGATAAAACCCATCTGGACGTATGGACTTGAGCTGTGGGGGACAACTAAATCTTCGAACATCAAACGTATCCAATCCTTTCAACCAAAGTCCTTCGAAAAATAGTTAACGCTCCGTACTACGTCACAAACAAAACCTTACACCATGATCTCAACATCTCTTTTGTCCTCGACATAATTACATCCAAATTCTCAAACTTTCATCAGAAACTTTTCCATCATGCTAATCCCTTAGCAGAATCCCTTTCCAGCTTCAACCATTCATATCTCCCCTCCCCCCCCCCCAACCTTATTATTTTTTTTTTTTAAATTAATTTTCAATTCCCACTTTTTATATGATTCTATCACATTTCTAAACATGTAAGTTATGCCATTTTCTATATTGGGCAAGAATTACTTGGTCATGTATACATCTTCTCTTATTCTTATTCCCACTTTTTCTTCTTCATTTTTTGAGAGCGACATCCATATAAATTTTGAAAAGGCCTAGCGAGAGGCAGCATCTCTGAAAAAGTCTGGAATGTTTCAGAGACGATTTTCTAATTTTCTTTCTCTATTTTATACTTTGCTAAAATATAAATTATAAAATTAAACAAAAGAGTAAAGTTCAAAGTACTTGATATGATACTCCAATCAAGTCAATTCAGTGAACAGCCACCTCCCCTTTAGCACCTCAATGACTAGCTGGCGAGTGGTGGCCTGCCATTCTCCAACTGGGCAACAGTTAAGAAAATTTATTGCTGCCTTTAATGGAAATCTGCCTCCCCATCGGTACTAAGCCACCACCCAGCCTAGCTCGCCCCCTTACGCTCATAATAAAGTTCGTTTTTATTGCCCTTAGCACTGAAGAAGAATCACCGAAACGTAAACTACCTTATGGTTTACGAATTGTTGTTCTTGAGACCAACATTATCAAAAATAATTTCGGAATATACATCTTGTAAAGAAAAAAGTCTTGGGCAGGAGAGCTCGGCCATTGAGGTCCTATTATCCTCTTATTTTTTATTAAAAACATTTATTAAAAAGAACATATTCTATCTTTAATGATAAACTGAGATTATCACTCTCTAATTGTTACAAATCCGATGTGTGCCAAATATCCAAAACGACAATATTCTAATACAAAAAGGAAGAAAATGTTTCCACTAAGATAGGGTCATTATAACAATTTTATTTAATTATATATTATTATAATATTAATTGCATAATAACATAATATAGGTATAGTTTTAAGATTTATTGTATTATTTAATCTGAAATTGTTATTAATAAAGATTTTGTTTTGTAGCAAAATCAGTCTATAGTTTATCTACAGTTAACACTAAAAATTTTAAATATATATACATGGTCGGATTTCATTTTTTTTTATTATTAAATTTCTTTCTCTCTCTCTCTCTCTCTCTCTCTCTCTCTATATATATATATATATATATATATATATATATATATATATATATATATAAATATCTCTCTATATCTCTCCATATATCTCTATCTCTTTCTCTCCCTCTCTCTCTCTCTATATATATATATATATATATATATATATATATATATATATATATATATATATCAAGCTTCAAATTTGATGGGCTGAAGGCTTGTGCTGATCTGTTAATACAGGATATCGCCCCACCATCCAGACCTGGCAAGGAAAACTTCCTTTGATGGACGTATTCGCCGAAGGGAGGGACCCTGCAGGCCATACCCAATTGTAAACAGTCCAATATATAATAAACTAGCAGAGCGGTTCCTCCTCTGATTGTTACACAACCATTTTTTTCATACCAGTTCCATCCCCTTTGCTTAAAATACCATAGGCAGTGTAAGGATAAAGCAACAAGATATATGTGTATATATTACATGTACTTATATTTTTATAGATGAAAAATAAAAAGGAAGATAAGAAAAAAGAAAGCATTGTAATTGTTGAAACGTAATTTATTGATCTTTATTTACAATAAAATACAATATAAGACACACCATTTTGTCTCACACTCCTAGTCAGCCCAACCAAAAAAATATGCATACGTTTTTGGAGACGCGTCCAATAAAAAAGGGATAAGAAGGTTGGGATGGATGCATAAGTAGATAGAGATTAGAGTTTACTTTCGTCGGATCTGGCTCGAGGAGACCGCAGACCGACAATTATCCTGGACAGATGGCTGCGGTATTTCTCCAGCTCAAGCTCCAGCCAATTCCCGGCCCTCGCCAACTTTACGAACTAACAACTTTGCCCGCTCCAGGGTTGAGCCTGTACTGCCGGTATAAGTATAAGCTCCGTTAACACAACAGTTCGGATTGCGTGACAAGTTAGAAAACGGTTTAAATGTAAATAACAACTGATTAAAAAGTGGTAAAATAGAAATTTAAATGACACGTAGAAGGTCTTGTATGAGGTTTATTTGAATGGGATGTATTATTATGCTGTCGATTTGGATTTTACGGATGAAGCAAAGGTTAGGATTATTTGTAATATTATTGCCATCTTATTGTTATGAACTATTGTTATTTTAAGTATGGAAGAAGTGCGAGTCAACTCAGACCTCAACTGTATATCATTGTATCTATAGTGGTGTGCCTAGATCATTTGGAGTCGGGACGGATTTATATTTGAGGCACACTAAAAAAAATAATAATAATAAAAAATTGAATCCCTCTAGTGTGTTAAAAAAAATCAGTTCAGGCGTTCTTAAAAACTTATTATATAGCTTTCTACGAACAACCCACACACACATAACTCCTCTGTCGCTTCGCTCAGTTCAGTAATAATTGAGAAAATAATTCAAAAATATTCTTTTGCCTTTTCTGTTTTTTCAGATATCAGGAAAAAATAGATATCACTACTTTTTCTCAAGATATTTAAACAAATACTTTTAAAGAAAGCAAGTTTCAAACACCGAATTATCTTTTTGTTTTAATTAATTTCAGCATGTTAAATAAATGAATCGCGTAACAAAATCAATGAATTGATCATAAACAATATTTAATAAGTGTAAAAAGTTATTTCCATCGCTCCATAATTATTATATTTCATCTATCCTTTAAATACATATTTTATATCAGATAAGCTATCAGGCAACTTAAGTAAAAATAAAAATCACTATTTCAGATAAAACTATCAAAGATAAACTTTATCTACTTATAGCAACGAGTTCTCCCGACCCCTTTCCTCTCTATCATATTTAAATTAATTATAGCCAAAGTGCTGAAGCAGGTCAGTGAGCCGGTAAATTAAGTAAATTGGAAATTCAGTATAGATAAGGGAAAGTTAACCGGCTGTTTGGAGGAATAGCTAATATATCGAGCGCTAATAGTGTTTGTACTGCCCGGTATCGCTCGCCTTACCGTAAATTAAAACAATAATTGACCTCGGCAAGCCTTACCAGCCTCAGGTCAGATCTGACCTCCACACCGTTACCTAATATTTCACGCTTAAATATTTTTTTTTAACTTAAAAGTAAATTATAAATAAGATAATTATAAATAAAAATGAATAGTAAAAGTAAATTTAAAAAAATTATGGAGCTTAATTAACTCCTACTAAAGAAAAAAATATGTTTGCATATTCCGAGATACACCTCGTACTATATTAAATAAAAAAAATCTATTTTTAGTACCCAATATTATTCAACGGAACAAATTATTAACTTAATTACCCCTTGGCGCTATAGTCCACGTGGGACCTCGGCCTTCTCAAGAATACGTCGCCAGTCGTCTCGGTCCAATGCGACAGGCCTCCACCGCCTGACACCAAGCTGTCTCTAATCCGCCTCAACATCCTCCAGCCAACGGAGTGGTGGCCTTTCTCTCCTTGCTCCTCCAGGTCTCCCTATAATATTTTCCTCGGTACTCGGTCTTATTCGTCCTGCCTTAATGACACTAACGAGATCTGCCCTGTAGAGTTGTCGCATCTCCCAATTGTATCTGGTCCTCCAAACGCCTTCTTCGATTTACAAACCCGTAAATCCTCCCAAAATCTTACACTCCCACACTCCAAGAGCCATCTCATGTTTTGCTGAGATAACCAATGTATGTGAGATAATCTCGCTTCTGTATGTGACTACCGGACGAGATTGTTGATTGTCAATCTGGCATCCCTTGATGGTCTTCGAGACCTAAGTAGTCGAGATCCCAGGTACTTCAACTCTCTGCATACCGGGAACTCGTGTTGGCCTATGTTTACTGTCAATCAATAATCAAATTATTAACATCCGCCTGAAACTTAGTGAATAGCTTCATCTCATCTTAACATAGAACTGTTTTCTTTACGAAGATTGTCGGAATTCGGGTATTTTCAATCTGAAGATCCGCAAAGTTTGTCTATTTGCCCAAGTACAAAAAAATCGTAAATTTCCAATTACTTTCCACTTGAATCGTCAGATAATTTGAGCACAAAGTCGAGAAAAAAAACTTGGCCTTTAAAAATATTGAGCCGTTTGGGGTGACCTATACTCCTAAAATGTGAAAATAATATGGTTTTATAAGCCAATTTGCCCAGTGTCTTTGTAGGCCCTCCTTTTTCTCGATTTTGTGCTCAAATTATCTTAAGATCTAAGTGGAAAGCAAACGGATTTATACGAAGTTTCAGGCGGATGTTAATAATCTGATAAAGGGGGTGTGTATCACGAACTATAATCATAATTAACTGCGTTCAAATTAACTAATTACTTCATTTTTTAAAGAAAATTGACTCAATAATAATAAATTTGCCAAATTGATATATATTTTTATTTATAAATATAATAATCTGTCACGTGAACAATAATTGTGGTGATATATGATCACATTCACACCATATACCCAGAAAATATAAAATTAACAAAAGTAAAATAACAACTAATTAATAATCAAAAACTATGTACAATAAAAAATAAAATAACCTAAAGATAAGTAAATTAAAAACATAGAAAAACAGTCATACTTATCTACAATATATACAGATGGATATTAGGCCATTTCATACGAAATGTCCGTTTTTATTATTCCAGAAATTCAAAGTGGGATTATTTCAAGTATTACTATCACGACATTCGGGGAAGTGTGTAACAAATGGATCATTCACCGATGGTTTAAAATAAATTACATTAAAAACAAATGTTTTTTTGTTGTGGTCAACAGCAGAAATAATTCATTTCCCCTTTTTACCCAGAAGTGTAGCAATCACATTTACATCGTAGTGCAGTAATATGGACATAATTCATCAAAAACGTGTGAAAAATAAACATGCATTGTCCAATGGGAAGGGGCTTATACTCTTACACAACAACTCCATACCTAATGTTTCACCACATGTAGTGATGGAACTATAGAAGTTGTGTTAGGAAGTTATTCGACACCTACTTTTGAAAATGATTCTCTGGTCAAAAACTTCTTGTTTTTGTTTTACTTAATTTCTTGATAAATCACTGAAATTTTCAATTCTGGTATTGAAAAGTAAAGAACACGCTGAGGAAATTTATAAAAAATGATGGTAAATATTTTGAATAAAAATGATTTTATTTCATAAAATAATAATAGCCTTTCCTCTGAAAACTGGCATTTTATATGAAACGACTAAATAGGAAATAGGTACTGAGGATGCCATTGTTCATTCATACTCGTACAATATAATATAAATAATATTAAAAAAAAATTTTAATCAATAAAAATGAAGTGATAGGTTAAACTTGAGTTATAATAATAAAAAAAATTCTTAAACTGATTTATACCTATATACAATAAACGAATTTCTCAATTTGTTTCTGGAAAATCTAATCTTTTATCTTTCTATGTTTGAAATATTTTTATAATAAGATAATGATCAATAAGATATAAAACGTTGTAACTATTTTTTTTATAACTTTTATTATGATATTTACAACTGTATTAGTATGAATACATCAAGTAAATGTGTACAGAGGAATATTATCACATGAAACACGCTTGTTGAGAAACTACCCATTGGTAGCACTCTAATAATTTGTCTACATGAGAAGATCACGAGGCCATCTTCTTTTCAGAAGCCTCGGAGGGTTATCAGGAATCGAAGAGGAAGCAAGGTTAGAAACAAGAGGATTCGGATGGTTATGAAGTTTATTATGGAAGGATAGGTATCTGGATTTGGCCAAATCGGAAACATATAGAACATTGAGGTGTACCTAATTTTAACATCGAAAATAATAATGAATATTATCTCTGGTAAAGAAAAATAAGAAACAAACTGGAATTAAAACTTACTGTTTAAAAGAGATAAGAAGAGGAGATGAAAATACTGGAAATAAAAAAAAATAACCTAAGATTGTGATCTTTAATTTCATTTTCAGTCATTTATATTTCATTTTATATTTATATTTCAATCATTTTCTTCTATTATTGTTATTTAAATATAGCAGATTGTGATATCTACCTATATTATTAAGAAAAATAATACACATATGCATGTGAATTTAAATTTATTTCGTTTATGCAAATAATCGCTGTTTATTTTATAGTATTCATTTATCTTAAGATTATAGAGGGATTGTCTGTAATCTAACTCATTAAACAAATAAATAAACTAATGCCTGAACCATATTAAAGCACTACTGTATTTAGCAATTATCCTATATTTATAGTTTCTAAAAGTGCATTTGAAGATTACAGCAATCAATAGTCTAAGAAAAACATGATATGAATTATTCCTAATTTATTTTTTTATCTAGGTTAAACCGTTTCAGTCACTATACTACGTGACAAAAAATGTCTTTATTAGTAATATTTATTTGGTCTTTTACTTACATAGAAGACGCTGAGATGTTTTGTTACTAAAATTTGACATTCGAAGAGTGATGAAAAGACTTAATCTAATCTAACTGCTAGAAAACTTCTTTTTTCACTAGTATTTCTAAAATAAATCGACTTAAATTTGCTCATAATATATCTATTAGTGTTTAGAGGCTTGGAAGATAGCTTTTTAGGCGCTAAGGTAAGTTGTATGCTCAATGTTGTACGGGCCCAGTTATTTTATCCAGAATATCACAAGCATGTGCTGGTGTGCTATTTCTTCAGACGCTCACAATACCGAATCAATGCTTGTGGAGATCAAGTCTTTAAACGCTCAGAGATACGTGGGATCCTCTAAAAAACTTTTGTATTTGTAATTTACCCCCTACATTGTGATTCTCTCTGCATGCTGAGCCATGAAAATAAACGACCACACAGAGCTAAAGTGTACCTGAGTACGATTCAAGTGTATCTATAGGGTGTTTTGTCATATTCCTGGACTTGTGGCAATTGGAAAAAATAAACCT